ATAGGATCATAGTAAAAGGTTTTACTGAAAACCTTTTTTACTAAGTAGGATCACAGTAAAAGGTCCTGAATAGAGTGAGAAAAAAAATGTGGAACAAAACTCAAAATCACTAAAAAGGCCAGGTTTATTGATCATATAGAAACTGGTAGAACCCCTGAGACTGTGGCCCTTTCAGATATGGAACTAAACTCACCTTGTGGCTCAAATTTCAACTACAAGATTAAGACTATAAGGGAACAATGCTAGTGAGATATACATACACACCTGAGAATAATCAACCATAAGATCAAAAGGGTAGCAATTAACCAAGGACAAAGTTCCAAAGTGTGCGTAAAGGAGGGGGAATAGAAGAAAGAAACAGAAGAAGTGAGTGGTGTGGTGACGTTACACTTAAAGGTCTGCAATGAATGAAATGAAACCAAAAGTGTCTGAAATGTTAGTTGTAAAACAGATGATCTGCTCTCTAAAGCTTCATCCAATAAAAAGAAAAAAAAAATCCTTAATTCAGCATTTTGTGGTTGGTAAAACTGTCACTGACCACCAAGTATATATAATTTCACAATACTCAAATCCCAACAAAGAACCCATTTAAGTAAAAAGCTATCAATCCACATAAGAATGTACAAACAAAACCAAAATTCTTGATTCGATCTGTAATTCCAATTTCAAAGAGCAAGTTATTTCTTAATGTCATTTGAAATTTTCTCAAATTTACTAACCATCTTTCCATATATGTTTCCCCCATCAGCCTACAGAGAAAGGAATTGGACCAGTTTTTAAAATGGTCTCTTATGGTTAAGGTTTTGTATCAACTTGATTAGACCAGGATTCTCAGTTGTTTAGCAGTTCAGACGTAGTTATCACCTCTGTGATGAGATCTGATATAATATAATCACAACCCCATGATATGATCTGATTTGATCTGCCCTGATTGCAATGTTTAGGATTCTGTGTCAACTTGACTAGGCCAGGTTTTCCAGAGGTTTAGCAGTTGGGATGTGCTTATTCCTATGGTGATGAAACCTAGTACAGGTATGGTTAACTCTGATGAGTGGCTATGAGCAGCCAATCAATTAAAGGGATGTTTCCTTAGAGGTGTGACCTGCTTCTAATATAATGGACACATGGGAAAGGTTCTCTCTCATCTCAATGTAAAGAAAACAAAAATCCTCACCACTGGACCAATAAACAACAATCTTATCAATGGAGAAAAGATTGAAGTTGTCAAGGACTTCATTCTGCTTGGATCAACTATCAACACTCATGGAAGCAGCAGTCAAGAAATCAAAACGACGTATTGCATTAGGCAAATCTGCTGCACAAGACCTTTTTAAAGTGTTGAAGAGCAAAGCTGTCAGCTTGAGGACTAAGGTGCACCTAACCCAAGCCATGGTATTTTCAACAACCTCATATGCATGCAAAAGCTGGACAGCGAATAAGGACGATTGGAGAAAAATTGATGCGTTTGAGTTATGGTGTTGGAGGAGAATATTGAAAATGCCATGGATTGCCAAAAGAACCAACAGATTTGTGTTGGAAGAAGTGCAGTCAAAGTGCTCCTTAGAAGCCAGGATGGCCAAACATCGTCTCTCGTACTTGGGACATATTGTCAGGAGGGACCAGTCACTGGAGAAGGATATCATTTTTGGTAAGGTGGAGGGTCAGAGAAAAAGAGGAAAACCCTCAGCAAGATAGATTGGCAAAGTAGCAGCATCAATGGGCTCAAGCGTGGCAACAATTTGAGGTTGGCCCAGCACCAGGCAGTGTTTCGTTCTGTTGTGCATAGGGGCGCTATAAGTCAGTACCAACTCGATGGCACCTAACAGCAACATATGTCAGAACCAACTCTACGGCACCTAATAACTATATATACATATATATATATAGTTGTTGTTATGTGCCGTGGAGTCAGTTCCGACTCATAGCAACCCTGCACAGGGTTTCCAAGGCTGTTAATCTTTATGGGAGCAGAACGCCTCATCTTTCTCCCGCGGAGCAGCTGGTAGTTTCGAACTGCTGACCTTGCGGTTCGCAGCCCGATTCGTAACCACTATGCTACCAGAGATATATATGTATGTATGTATATATATATATTCCCATCGAGTCCTGGTGTGGTGCCATAGGGTTAGCGCGGGACCGTATGGTTGGTTTGAACCACAAGGTCGATGTTTCAAACTCACCAGCCACTCCTCAGAAACCCTATACTGGGACAGAAACCCTATATTGGGCCACTGAGCTGGAACCGATTCAAAGGCACTTAACAACATAGTCCCATGGAGTAGCTGGTGGATTTGAACCACTAGCTTTTTCTGCCCACAGATGAATGCTTTAAGCACTGTGTCACTATGACACCCTCATCAGTCATTTGTTGTTGTTGTTGTGTAGTCGAGTTGGTTCCAACTCACAGCAACCCTGTGTAGGGGTTCTCAAAGAATGGCTGGTGGGTTTGAACCACCAACCCTCATGGTTTAGCAGTCCAGTGCTTATCCTACAACATCACACCAGGAGATGCAGTTCAAAATCACAATGATATATCACTTCATCCCTACTAAGATGGCTATGGAGTCCTGGTGTGGCACTGTGGATTAAAGTGCCAGACAGCAAAGCCGTTTGAACTACAAGGTCAGCAGTTCAAGCTCAGCAGTTGCTCCTCCAAAACCCTCTACAGGGTTGCTATGGGTTGGAACCAACTCTATGGCACTTAACAATAACAACAAGATGGCTATGATTTTTTTTAAAAAAAGGAAAACAGCAGGTATTAGCAACGCTATAGAGAAATTGGAACTATATATATGTACACACACACGTATAGTTGTTAAGTGCCGTCAAGTCAGTTCCAACACATTGGACCCTGTATAGGGTTTCCAAGGAGCAGCTGGTGAGCTTGAACCGACAACCTTGCAGTTCAAACAGACTTTGCAGTCCAGCACATTAATCCACAGCATCACACCAGGACTCCATAAATACACACACATATATGTATGTATATATATATATGGAGCATAGTAGTTCTAGAAGGTAAGCACAGGACTGGCAAAGCACAAGATTGGAGGTTTGAGCCCACCAGCTACTCCATAGGAGAAAGATGAAGCTGCCTACTTTTATAAAGATTTATAGCTTTGGAAACCCTATATAAGGTCATTATGAGTTGGAACCAACATCACAGCACTTAACAACAATAACACACACACAAGCACACATATAAGGATGAGTCAAAAATTATTCACACTGTTTATAATTAAAATGCCTGTAAACATCCTCAGCTGATGGCAAAATTGATCATGCACGTGAAATGATTCTGTAAAAAGACAAGTAATGGTAGATTCTGTGGCAAATCATTTGCAAATCAGTCATGGCTCTGCCTATGAAATAAATCCATGACAGACTTGGGTTTCAAAAAATTTGTGCAAGATGGGAACCGAAACAACTCACAGAAGAGCATAAAGAGAAGAGTTTGGACATCTGCAAACAAAATTTGGATCGATACTTGAAGACGGTAAAAGTTAATTAAAAAAATTACTGGTGACAAGACATGGATTCATTACTACAAGCCTGAGAGTAAGCAGCAGAGTATGCAATGGAAACATCCTCAATCGCCGACCAAGAAAATGTTCAAAAGTCAACCATCAACTGGAAAATGAATGCTTACACTTCTCAAGGACCAGTATTGGAACACTACTGATCAACACTCAACAGTGCTCATTACAGTGCTCGTTACAGTGAGATTAATGGCTCGCAGCTCAGTCTACAGCATCTTTTCATAAGGGAATACAAGTTTGTTGACAGATGGACAGAGAGTATTGAAAAAGCAAGGAGATTAAGTCGAAAAATGATGTATTTATTTTTTCTAAAAGTTGATTTAAAATTTTTGACTCAGTCTCATATGTGAGTATATACAACATATACATATATATACACACATATACACATACATGGAGTCCTACTGTGGCACTGTGGGCTAATATGCTGGACTGCAAAGTCCATTTGAAATGCAAGATCGGCAGTTCAAGCTCACCAGCTGGTCCTGAGAAACCCTATACAGGGTCGCTATGGGTCAGATCCAACTCAAAGGCACTTAACAGTAAAGATAGATAGATAGATAGATAGATAGATAGATAGATAGATAGATAGACAGACAGACAGATAGATAGACAGATGATAGATAGATAGATAGATAGATA